TAAAAATAACCAATTACAGTCATGTATGGAAACTGCTTAGCATTTAAGGCCTAATTATTATGCAGCACAATTACATGCTATTAAATATGCATCAGATTATCCTTGTTAGTTTTAATGCATCAGATTATCCTTGTTAGTTTTATTTGATTAAAGAAGTACTCGTTCTGTACTGAGGAACAGTCTTATAGTTAATTTCTCATAATATATAAGTCTGTTCACTATTTACATTAATTAAATGGGACAGAGCTCCTGAGATTGTTTTGTATTCAAGGTAAGTCTGGATTAATCATCCTTGATGGCAATTATGAATATTCCCTCTGACCTGTAAGATAATGTACACTCATTGTTTCTTTTTATTTTAAAATATACTTTTATTGATTTTTAGACAAAGGAAGGGAGAGACAGAGAGAGAGAGAAACACTAATGTGAGAGTGTAACATTGATCAGCTGCCTCCTGCATGCACCATACTGGAATCGAGCCCACACCCCAGGCATGTGCCCCAACCAGGAATCGAACTAGCAACCCTTCAGTGCATGGGAGGATACCCAACCAACTGAGCCACACCAGCCAAGGCCCACTCTCATTAATTTTGTAGTGAAGAAGGTGTTAAAAATGCAGGCAGCAAAATAAATTGTTTCATTGCTTGGTGATCTGTGCTGAAAACCTATGGATTTCCAGTAGACAATTCTTGATTTAAATAATGACAAAATTCTAATGCTGAGCAACAGCCAACCTAACTTAGAAAAACTTTTCTTTTCTTTTTTATCCTCACCCGAGGATATGTTTATGGGTTTTAGAGAGAGAAAAACATTGATCAGTTGCCTCCTGTGCATGCCCTGACTAGGGATTAAACCCACAACCCATACCTTAGAACAACTTCTAAATAGGCCCCAGGATCATCCTATGGAGCACTTATAGAATTAAAATTAAAATTACCATTATAATTTATTTGACTTCCACCATGAACTAGGTACTATACATATATCCTCACAAAACTCTTATTAGGTACTATAATTTTCATTTTACACACAAGGGGGAAAAAAGCACAAATAACTTACCTAAATTCTTTTTTTTTTTAATTAAAAAATTTTTTTTTTCTTTATTGATTTTAGAGAGAGGAAGGGAGAGGTAGAGAGAGATGGAAACATCAATGAGAGAGAGCATTGACTGGCTGCCACCAGCATGCCCCCCACTGGGGATTTGGCCCACAACCTGGGCATGTGCCCTGACCGGTAATCAAACTGGCGACCTCTTGGTACATGGGTCGACGCTCAACCACTGAGCCACACCAGCCAGGCAAACTTGCCTAAATTCTTGAAGGTAGTAAAGGGTGGGGACAGGGTTGAAATTCAGGAGAGCTTTAAAGTCCATACCTTTTAAATTACATTGAACTGTGCCAGCTTCCTTACAAATCATGATTCAAACATTAGGCACTTGCTAGTTGCAAAAGAATATAGACTGCCTGTCACAGAATGATGCAAAATATTTTCAGAGCCTGTTTGACAGTCAAAAGGTGGAGGCCCTGTATATTAGGTGGAAAAGTATGCAGCTAGGTTGCCTAGTAGGCATTTCAAAGTTTTCTGATAAACACACAGGGCCAGTGTGGCTCAGTGGATTGAGTGTTGTCCCATGGACTGAGAGGTCCTGGTTTGATTCCCAGTCAGGGCACATGCCTGGGCTGCAGGCTTGACCCCCAGTAGGGGGTATGCAGGAGGCAGCCGACTGATGTTTCTCACATCAATGTTTCTCTCACTCTCTCTCTCCCCCTTCCTCTCTCTCTAAAAAAATCAGTAAAAAGATATTTTTAAAAATCTTTATAAAAAAAATTTTTTTTCTGATAAACAGAAGTCACTCAGCAACAATACATTCCTAGTTCACCTAACTTCTTGGATTCTACCCAAAGCCTGGTGATTCATGAGACAGATATCCTCAAAAAGAAGTCAGTGAGGTAGGAAGAGGCAGAAGAGATGGGTAGCAAAGATTTAGGTTAATGAAAACTCTGCTTAAAGGCCACAGCATTATGTAACTCTTAATTCCTGCTAACTCTTCCCTATTAACCAATCAGAAGTAGTTTATTAGTTACATTTGGACAGATCTATATTTTGTTGTTGTTGTTAATCCTCACCCAAGGATACTTTTCCACTGATTTTTTAAAGATAGAGTGGAAGGGAGGGAAGGAGAGAGAAACATTGATGTGAGAGAGACATATCAACTGGTTGCCTCCTGAAATAGCCCTGACTGGGGCCTCAGATCGAACCTCAACCCAGGTACACGCCCTTGACGAGGAATCAAACCTGCGACCTTTCAGTGCACAGGCTGATGTCTAACCATGGAGCCACACTGGCCCGCGGGCATGCATCAGGGCTCTTAAGCAGAAAAATATCCCCCCACCCCCGTTCACCTTTGAGATCTTTGTTTTTATTTATTTTTTCATTTTCAGAGAGTGGGAGGGAGGAAGGGAGGGAGAGAGAGAGAGATAGAGGAAGAGAGAGAGAAACATCGACATGAGAGAGACATATCGATTGGCTGCCTTCCGCATGACCCCAACCAGGGCCAGGGACCAAACCACAACCCAGGTATGTGCCCTTGACCAAAATCAAACTCGAGACTCTCTGGTCTGCAGGCCAATGCTCTAACCACTGAGTAAAACCGGCCAGGGCCACCTTTGAGATCTTTATGACCCTCCCTCCTATTTATGCAGAAGCTTTCCCAGTCAGACCTCACTATGTGGAGAAATGACTATAGGTAAACCTTACATTTTTTTTTTTTTTAAAGCTGTGTTCTTTTTTAAAAAATATTTTTTGCTTTATTGATTTTAGAGAGAGGAGGGAGAGGGAGAGAGAAACCTTGATGAGATTGGCCGCCTCCTGCATGCCCCCCACTGGGGATCAGGCCCACAGCCTGGGTATGTGCCCTGACTGGGAATCAAACCAGCAACCTCTTAGTTCATGGATCAAAGCTCAACCACTGAGCTACACCAACTGGGCAACCTTACATTTCTTTAAGTAGATTAGCAGATGTGCCTCAACCTTTCCTCTGCAGACTGCTCATAGTTTGGATGGATCAAGTTGAATGAGCACTCTAAGAACCTCCTGGAAGCCCTGGCCGGTTTGGCTCAGCGGTTAGAGCACTGGTCTGCAGTCTGGAGAGATCTGGGTTCGGTTCCCGCTAAGGGCACATACGTTGGTTGCAGTCTGTCCCCGGCCCCGGCTGGGTCATGTGGGTGGCGACCACTCGAAGTGTCCCTTTCATGTTGTCCCTTTCATGTCGATGTTTCTTTCTCTCTCTCTCCCTCCCACTCCATCTGAACAAAATATCAAAAAAAATGTCCTCGGGTAAGGATAAAAAAAAAAAGAACCTCCAGGAAAGAAAAGGATTGATTCTGTAACTCCTTTGACTAGGGTGGACACACAGAGACAAAGAGGTAGAGGCATGGATTAAGGGGTGAGGGTTGGGGGGGGGGTGGCAGGAAGGTGAATGGCAATGCTCCAGTTAAAGAGGCAGCAGCAGAGGCTAAGGAGGAATCAGTCCTGAGCTGGACCTTGAGAACTTAAACCCTTGAGGCTCAGGCCTTTTGCAGGGTGAAGCCCTCTCTACTGAGTGCATCACAGGAAGACTCCTTGCCTTGAAGAGCCCTTGTAATTGGTAAAGGGCCCTGCTCCAGGACCTTAATCTCTGGCTAATTTACATTGACTGGGTATACCTCAGAGTTTAAAGGGGAGGAAACTGAAACCTAGAAGGCACAGCCAGACTTTTAGACTTTGTACTTTTGTCTATTTGTGTACAAAACTACAAAGAGCCACTTCAGTTTATAGGAAAAATAAATATTAGATAAGACAAAGTTTATAAAGTCTTTCAGCACTCTGGACATAGTAAAAATCTAAAAATGGTAGAAAATCATTTCCATACGGAGAGAGGCTCAGAAACTGCAATTTTTATTCTTTTTTTTTTTTTTATCCTTACCTGAGGACATTTTTTTCCTTTTTTTGTTCAGATAGAGTGGGAGGGAGAGAAAGGAAGAAACAGAGAGAGAGAAACATCGACATGAACGGGACACACAGAGTGGCTGCCACCCGCACAATCAACCAGGGATGGGGACAAACTGCAACCGAGGTATATGCCCTTAACGGGAACCAAACCTGGGTCTCTCAGCTCTAACCGCTGAGCCAAACCTGCCAGGGCTGCAATTTTTATTCTAATCACTGAAAAAACTGCGATAGAGTGAAGCTGCGAAAGTCGAAGCGCGAAGTGGCGAGGGACAACTGTATATAAATAAAGAATCCTACTTCACGGAAATTCATTTATCACGGTAGAGTCTGGAACTGATTAACCACGATACTCGAGGGCCGACTGTAGCTGAAAAGTTGTTGGGATAGTCTGGGCTTAGTCAATGGCAGCCACATCACAGAGCCTGACAGTATGATACAGTTTTCCTTGTTGGGTTTCAAGTTCAAAAGTCAACTCCTAAGTTAGTTATGAATGAAATGGCTTGAAGAATGTGCTATTAATCTGTCCTGAAGTTCAGTCTTCAAAAGTATTAGCCCAATATGGACTAATCTTGGATGTTATTAAATTTCTGACTTAAAGAGGATAAAAGGTGCTTTTTCAGGTTCCTTTACAGACTTTTTTTAGTGAGGGGAGCAACAAGACACTAAGTTCTTTCTGCTATGAAAGATTAAATACAGGCTGCACTGGAAGCATGTGAAGGGTCTACTTAACCCAGACTTGGGGGCCAGGAGAGATGTTCCTGAGGAAGTGACATCTAAGTTGAAGTAGAGGTACCTTGGTGAAGGAAGCTTGGAAGGAACAGGGTGCATAAGGGAAAAATCCAGGTACTTCCGTCTGGCTAGAGGATAAAGTGTGAGATGGGACAATGATAACAAAGAAATAGGAAGACACTAGACCCTAAAGGGCCTTCTACAAAGAGTAAACATATAATTTATTGTACAAACTGAGGCACTTCTGAAAGTGAAATAAGACAACATTGCTAATTATATGGAGATAACAGGAGTAAACCGGGTCTGTTCTGAGCAAAGTGGAACTTATAGTCACCCTGCTTATAAGTCATGTTGAGGTGCTTGAACCTCCAGTGAAAGCATAGATTGGATATCTTCTCTGTTTACCTTATACATTTTGCCTGAGTGACTTCATCCATACCTTTGCCTTTACTTGTTCATTTCACAAATATTCATCCAGGATGCACTTCTGGGCACTGAGGTTACAAAGAAGAAAAGACACAGTGTCTGTCCTCAAGCTAAAGACACATATCCAAAGAAACAATTCTAATACAATTATTCAATTTTAGCTCTGGCCTCTCCGCTGAGCTCTAAATTCATATGCGTCATTTTCACTCAGATTGCAAAACACAGATCTAAAATAGGACTTTTATTTTCTTCCAAATCTCTTTTCCTTCAGTTGGTCTTCCACCTTCCCCAGCTGATCTTATAATTGATATCACTATTCACTACACTGCGGAAGGCAAAAAACCAGAAAAACACTACTTTAATCAGTGCTATCCTTCTCACTGTGCATTTTCATTTCCTTACATCTTTTAAAATTTGTATTAATTTATTTTTGTTACAGATGTTTCTCCTTTTCCCCCCACTGACACCCTCCTCCCGACACCCCCCCCCCCCAGCATTGTTGTCTATGTCCAATGGTTACGCATACATGCATTGTAAGTTCTGTGGTCCACCTCCCCCCCATCCCGTCCCCCTCTTCTGAGGTTTGTCAGTCTGTACCCCACATCCATGTCTCCGAGTCCATTCTGTACATTAGTTTGTTTTGTTCAGTATATTCCACAAATAAGTGAGATCATGCAACAATTTTTTTAAGCACAATGTCTAAATTGGGGCTTAGAATTCTAATGAGGGCCTAACATCAATGGAAGAGGAAGGGTAATTTTCAGGTGCTTAAATGCAAAGTTTTTAATGAACAGATCCCAGTATTATGTGGGGATGTTTTTTCTACAACAGTACTGGTAACTCACATTCAGGTTGTTGACAATCATGACATCCAGATCTGGATATATGCCCTAGCCAGTCTCAAAAAGATTCAGTTTAGGTGAAAAAGACATGAAGATAAGTCCTAAGTGTTAGACTCAATTTCCTCTTTGTGGAGAATGTGAGAGTGGTTGTAAAGGTGTAAAGGTGTGGGTGAAACACTAAATAAACTATCTGTTGAACAACTGCTGTGTAAAAGGGCAATTTTAATGTTTCGACCATCTATTCTCCACATAGCTTCTTGAGTAACCCCTTTAAAGCAAACCTGATTACTCCTTGGCTCTCAACCCTTCCATGGTATTTTATCATATCCCAATAAAATCCAAAGTCCAACCAAGGCTTCTCAGATGATACATGATCTAGCTTCTGCCTGTTTCTCAATGTATTTCCCTAATTTAGTATGCTCCAGCCACCCTGGTTTCCTCGCTTCTTCTCCAACATGCCAACCAAGTGCTTATCTTAGGGCCACAGCAACTGTCATTTCTCTTCTCCTAGAATAGATTCCCTCTAGAAATCCACAGAGCTTCCACCCACATTTAATGATTAGATTTCTGCCTATGTGCTCCTCCCTTAAGAGGCCTTCTTTGTCTGTCCTATCTAAAAGAGGATCCCCACAGCACTTATCCCTTTATCCCGATTTTTACACTTGCCACATTTCTGGGCATTATCTATTACTTAGTAAGAGGCATTATCTATTATTTAGTAATATATTCTGTTACTGCTTATTGTCAACCTCCCCTACTATTATAAGAGGCAGACTTTATTTTATTCACTGCTGACTTCCCCGCACCTAGAACAATGTCTGCTCATTAAATATTTGTTGAATGAATAGATTTTCAGGATACATCAAACGTAAAACGACTCTCTTATTTACTGACGCAGAGGAAAATGTAAAGTACCTAGCAAAATGTTAACAGTTTATTTAACATGTTGGGAGCTGCTCTTCACATTTTTGCTCATGTGAATTTTCTAATTTTTAAAAAATTTTTACAATGAATGTGTTTCTCACATACTAATAAAATGAATCCAAAAGCCACAGAGGCAGAACGTGTAAATGAATTCTAAGAGGCTGGGCAAATTCATGAGAGATTTCTGAATAGATATAACAGTATAATGGTTAAACACACACCACAGTTTGAACCTCCTTCGCCAACACTTTGTAGCAGTGGGACCCCAAGTTATTTATTTATTAGCCCGAGTCTAAATGTCTTCTACCTGGAAAACGGGGATAATAATAGTGCCTGCTTCACAAGGTTGCTTTTGAAGATTAGGGGAGACCATGTAGTAACTTCCTTTGTACAACACCTGGCATGCAATAAATCCTCGACGTATGTTCGCTATTATCATTCGTAGTAATAAGAGTTAGGACATACCTAGCCCTCAAGATAGCCATCAGAGTGGACCACCACATCCTCTCATCCTTGCGCCTCCCTCTGGGCCTCTGACGCCCAAAGAGGGGATGGGTGTTTCCAAAGGAGGTACTTCCGACGGTCCAGAAGCATCCGAATCGAGCGCACCCTGCACACCCTGAAACCATCCAGTCTGGTTAATCCATGAGCAGCACTCCAACACACGGATTCCAGAGGCGGCCACTGAGTCCTTTAGCCTCAATTTCCTTTGCTGCAACAAGGGTGAGAATGTAAAAAATACAAAAGCAGGGCAGTACGGGCCCGCCCCGCCTCACGGCACCACTCCCCGGCAAGCCTCTGGCGACCCGCAACGCACCTCACGGGAAAAAGTGATCACGGATGGGACTCAAAGGCAGGCAAGCTGCTCACCCGCATCCTCCCAGGCCTCTGCCAGAGGGCAGCAGCGGGCACGCGGCGAGGCCCGGGCTCCAGATGAGGGGGTAGCGACGGGCGCGCGGCAAGAGGCGAGGCCGGGAGGGCCAGGGAGGGAAAGGGGCGGAGACGGCGGGCGCGCGGCACGCGGCGGGGCCGCTAGGGGGAGGGGCGAGCTCGCGCTTGCGCCGCTCGGGAGCGAGCTCGTAAGCCCAGGGGCGCGCACGTGGCTGGCTGCTTCTCGGCGTGGAGGAGGGGGACACGGCCAGATTGGAGCACGAGGCGCTGCAGAGCGGGCTGTGGCGTGCTGAGCCCCTCTAGCCGGACGAAGAGGAGGTGAGGACTGCGAGGTGCGGCGGGGATCGGGGTCAGGGTGCAAACCCGGCGGAGGGGGAGACGCGGCAGGGGGGCGGGCGATAGGCGTCGGACCACGTCGCGCTGTAGGGGAGGGCGGGGCGGGGCTTGACCCCGCAGGCCCCGCCCCGCGGCGAGCCTGGCGCGTTTTGTGCTCTAGGCGGCTGCGCGCAGTCCCAGTTTAGGCATTCCTGTCTCTGCACTGCAGTGCCTAAGAACGCTAAGGACAGCCGCTGTGTGTCATGCCTCTACCGACGTTTCCCATTGGGTTTTCAAGTAGGCCTTCCGCAGCAGGCATTTAAGCTTCCTTATTTAGGTCTAAGCCTGACTGAGGCTCAGGTAAAATGAGTTGCCCAAGGTCCTGCTTCTAATAAGGAACTAAGGGAGGATTTGAGCTTTGTCTGCCAGGTGTCCTGTGCACCACACTGAATGATGTTCTTCACGTACCTTCCATCCTCCCAGTCATATCTTTGAACTTGGTAAATGTTGATTTGGAGCTAACACCCATCTTTTCATGGGTGTTCGTGTTAGAAATGTCTCATGAGAAGGGAGAGGAAGAAAGAAAATTCTGTTTATTGCAATATTGTACTTAAGACGTGGAGTGCTTATCAGACTGTTTATACATCCTTAACTCGACTCTCTATTAATCTTTGTTGAAATGGCACTGCTATTCACTACCTGTAAGACATTGTACAAATAACAATCTTTCAGGGCTTCCTTTCCCTTCTTCGAAAAAACAGCATGCCTCAGAGGGTTCATAGAGATATATACAGTGGTACTACAATATCTGGTATCTGAGAAAAGTTCAATAAACGTTGAGCATTATTTCATTACGGAGTGCATAACACCCCTTGCTAGACTCATTTTTCTTCAAAGACTTTTTCCTGAGACTAGAGCAGAGAGAAAACTACCCTACCCAAGCCTGCCCCCCAAAAGACAAGTTCAATGACTTCCATGTTATCCAAAAGTTGATACACTTAGTGATTAACTATTCCCCAAACTAAAAATATCAGGTGAGCCCTGGCTGGTTTGGCTCAGCAGTTAGAGCGTTGGCCTGTAGACCAAAGAGTCACAGGTTTGATTCTGGTCAAGGGCACTACCTCAGTTGCGGTTCCTCCCGGCCCCGGTTGGAGTCATGTGGTAGGCAACCAATCGCAGTGTCTCTTTCACATCAATGTTTCTCTCTCTCCCCCTCTCTCCCTCCCACTCTATCCAAACAAAAATGAAAAAATATCCTCTGGTGAGTATTTAAAAAAAAAAAATCAGGTTAAAAAAGTCACTCCAGGAAAACTAGAGATAAATTAACCTATTGAAGAACTAACATTTATTTGTCCATCACATTTGTGTTTACTGAGTTGTTTCTGTGTGCTTGGTACTTTTAAAGCATACAAATTTGTATGTAGTCCCCGCTTTTATTTAGTCTAGAAATAGGGGGAAATATGCACGTAGAAACAATCCTCACAAATTAGAATGTGAAAAATGCCAGAAAAGAGGTAGTTAAAAACTAGGAGAGTATAGAAGAAGGAGGGATGTTTTCTTGGCTTAGTGTGAAATATGATTTCATTTCTGCCTTCAAGAAGATATTTTGACCCTGTGGCTCTGTTGGTTTAGCATTGTCCCATTCACAGAAAGGTTGCCAGCTCAGTTCCTGATCAGGGCACATACCCATGTTTTGGGTTTGATCCCTGGTCAGGGTACAAATGGGAGGCAGCCAGTCATTGATGTTTCTCTCTTCCTTTCTCTCTCTTTAAAGAAAGTCAACATGTTTTGCCCTGGCCGGTTTGGCTCAGTGGTTAGAGCGTCGGCCTGCGGTCTGGAGAGACCCGGGTTCGGTTCCCGCTAAGGACACGTACCTCGGTTGCAGTTTGTCCCCGGCACTGGTTGGTCGTGCGGGTGGCAGCCACTCGATGTGTTCCTTTCACATCGATGTTTCTCTCTTTCTCTCTGTTCCTCTCTCTCCCTCCCACTCTACCTGAACAAAAAATGGGAAAAAAAAAAAAGAGAGAAAAAAAAGTCAACATGTTTTTAATAAAATGTTTAAATTATTGAACAAATGTATGTTGTAATAGATAGGATTCCTTGGTTTCTAATAACAGAACTCATTTGTATAAAAGTATTGGAAAGAAAAAAAAAAGTATTGGAAATATAAAGAAATGAGAAAAAGAAAAAAACTAAACAGTTGGGCCACCCATAGGGATGGGGAATCTCAACAGCCAGAGCTCATGGACCAAATTTTTTGACTAGTGAATGACTGAGTTCCAACTGCCTTCTGTCTTTATATGTCTTATTCAAGATTCAGATTTCTCTAAGAAGAGATCTGGTTGCTTTAGCTATTGTGAGGGTAGAGGACAGAATATTGTAATTGGCAGCACTGAACCATATGAAATGTCTAAGACTCAGTTACCCAAAGGAAGGGGGCTAAGGAGAGAACCAGTAGTTGTTTATTAGAGCTGTGTAGCTTTTGTAGAGGGTTTACTATGGGCCAGGCACAATGATACATAATTTATATGGATTTTGATATTTAATCTTTTTTCTTTTTTTTAATTCTTACCTGAGGATATTTTTCTATTTATCTTCAGCCAGAGAGGGAGGGAGGAAGAGAAAGGAAGAGAGAGAAATATTGATGGGAGAGAGATACATCAACTTGTTGCCTCCCGCTCAATCCTGACCAGGGCTGAGGACCGAACTGCAAGTGAGGTACGTGCCCTTGACTGTAATTGAACCCAAGACTCATTGGTCAACGGGCCGATGCTGTAACTACTGAGCCAAACAGGCCAGGGCTTGATATTTAATCTTTACAACACCTCTAGGAGGTAGAAACTATTATAATCATACCCTTTCTACAGAGGGGGAAACAACAGGTTTACAGAGATTAAATATTTGCTTAATGTTACAAAGCTCATGTGTAGTAGAGTTGAGTACATTGCATTATCTTCTCTTTATCTTGTCCCTTTGACTTATTTCCTGATCCATGTGCCACTCTTCTTTATTCATAGGAGGTCATCAAGCTTTGGTGTATGTGTTGGCCAGTTCTGAAATCTTCTTGAAAGGGCACTGCATTGAAGAAGATCAAAGCAGCAGTATTTGCCAATTAAGGAATGGACCGTTTGGGTTCCTTTAGCAGTAAGTACTGTGTGAACATATCTCAGGTGAATATTAATAGCAAACTAAAGTGGAAGTTGATCAAAGAAGGAAAATAAGCACTTTGAAGTTAAACAAAGCCCCGTAAATCTGATCCTAAAGGAATGAGTATTAACTCAAAGTAAAATCAATCAATATTTATTGATTGCCCACTGAACACATAATACAAATATATCACCCTAGGTCTTACAAGAAAACTAGGTCAGATGGACCAGGCATAGTATGGTTAACTTGCATTTAGGTTTTTTTGTGTTTTTTTTTTTAATTCTCACCTAAGGATATTTTTCCATTTATCTTCAGATAGAGTGAGGGGGGGGCAGAGAGGAAGAGAGAGAGAGAAAAAAACATCAACTGGTAGCCTCTCACACGACTCTGACCAGGGCCGGGGACGAACCGCAACCAAGGTACATGCCCTTGGCTGGAATCGAATCCGGGACTCTGATCTGTGGGCTAATGCTCTAACTGCTGAGCCAAACCGGCCAGGGCTAACCTGCGTTTAGATTTTTTTTTACTTACTTACTTATTTATTTATTTTTTAGGGCCTTCTGGTAAAAAGTGGAGACCTGCTAGACAAATTCAAAAAGAGCAGCACTTACATTGAGATTTTATAAAGCAGATGGGCCCTGGCTAGTTTGACCCACAGACCAGTGAGTCAAAGGTTCGATTCTGGTCAAGGGCACATACCTCAGTTGCGGTTTGTCCCTGGCCCAGATTGGGGTCATGTGGGAAGCAACTAGTCGATGTGTCTCTCTCACATGAATGTTTCTTTCTCTCTCCCTCCCACTCTATATAAAGATAAATAGAAAAATATTCTCGGGTGAGGATTAAAAAAAAAAGCAGATGGATTTCTCTTTGGAACCAGTATCATGTTTGTGATGCCTTGATAAGAGATAATGTCAGTGGTAGAATAAAGGAAATACCCTATTCCCTCATTAATGTAAAACTTATATTTTAACAGTAAGCCACAGTATAATAATAATGCAGAGAATTATGTATGTTTGAAATAGATTCAGGCAGCCTCTGTATGGAGAACAAATATATAATGCTTTTTCTTTGATTCTTAAGATAAGAGATTTGGCAGAAGTAGAAATCCATTGTTAGATGTTGGTAGTGACCCAATGAGAAGAATCAGAGAGGTACTTTTTGGGTGTTTGTTTTATCTACAGCAGTTTCTTAAAGGGGCTCTAATTTATTCTGTCATCACACTGTTTATATAAATTTAGTACAGAATGGAGTCTTCAAACACAGCTAGTTCAAATCTCTCATTTTGCACATGGAAAAATAATCTAAAAGAATTTTCCCGATGCTGTCAGTGAAAACTGAAACCATTCCCTCTCTCTTTAAAATAATTTCTAGTCCAGCTGGTGTGGCTCAGTGGATTGAGTGTTGTTCCATGGACTGAGAGGTCCCAGTTCAATTCCCGGTCAGGGCACATGTCCGGGTTGTGGGCTCAATCCTCAGTAGGGGGTGTGCAGGAGGCAGCCAATCAATGTTTCTATCTCACATCGATGTTTCTGTCTCTCTATCCCTTCCTCTCTTAAAAAAAAAAAAATCAATAAAAACATTTTTTATTTAATTTCTACACTCTTTATTTGGACATGATTTCAAACTTACAGGAACGTTGGAAGATATCCTTAAAAATAGTACAAAGACTACCCATACACTTTTTGATAACTTTTTACTCCATTTGTGTGCACTTTCTTTCTCCCTCTGTCTCTCTATTAATACATATAAACACATTATATATTGATTTATATATATTTATAAACATACCCCATATATATTTTGTTTTAGTCATTTGATGGTAAGAGACATACAATAGGTCCTCGATGTCATCAATAGATTCTTGGAAACTGCAACTTTAAGTGAAATGACATAAAAAGAAACTAATATTACTGTAGGCTAATTCATATAAATAAGAGTTAAATTCCTGTGGTGTATTTCTGGTCACAAAATCATCACCAAACTTCTAACTAAAGACCCCAGACACTTCTAATATTAAACATTGAAATAAATGTGAGCTATGCATACATTTAAGAAAGATGAGCCTGGCCAGTGTGGCTCATTGGTTGAGTGTCGACCCATGCACCAAGAGGTTGCTGGTTTGATTCCCAGTCAGGGCACATGCTCAGGTTGTGGGCCAAATCCCCAGTGGGTGGCATGCAGGAGACAGCCAATCGATGTTCTCTCTCATCCGTGTTTTTATCTCTCTCCCTCTCCTTATCTCCCTCTCCCTATCTCTCTAAAATCAATAAAGAAAAAAAAATTTTTTTAAATCAAAATAAAATTTCCTGACACTGAAAAACAACAAAAAAAGATGAACCCTAACTGATATGGTTCGGTTGAGTATCTTCCAGTGCACCAAGAGGTTGCTGGTTTGATTTTCCGTCAGGGCATGTGTCCAGGTGTTGGGCTTGACCCCTGGTTGGGGGCATGCAGGAAGCCCATCGATGTTCCATGCTTGCGTTGTTTCTCTCCCCCTCAAAATCAATAAAAAAATATATTTAAAAAAAATATTAATAAAAACAAGATAATCCTTTTCTAACCCACTTATTCCAGTTCAGGAGTTGAGGGTGGCCAGGGCCTATCCCAGCAGCTCGGGGTACAAGGCAGGAACCAACCATTCCATTGAAGAGCACACTCACACACTGATTCTGGGACAATTTAGATGCCAGTTTACCTAACGTGAACATCTTTGGGATTTGGGAGGAAACCAGAGTCCCTGGGAAAAACCCATGGAAACATGGGGAGAATATACAATCTCCACACAGATAGTGGCCATAGCTGGGAATCCATCTTTTTTTTAATTGACATTATAACAAAATGATATTGAACAAATGAACAAAACAATGTTATATGAGGACATGCTAAATATCATAGCCCTTTACTCCTAACTACTTTAGTGTTTATTTCCTAAAAATAGGGGTATTTTATTATATAACCTCAGTAGAGTTTATCAATTCTATTAAATTTAACATTGATAAAATACTTTCTGTGGATCACAGGCTGACGCTCTAACCGCTGAGCCAAACCGGCCAGGGCTGATAAAATGCTTTCTATCTAACCTACTGTCTGTCTGTATTTCAGTTTTGTCAGCTGACTCAATAATGTCCTTTATGGGTTGTTTTTTTTTTTTTCCAGTTCATGATACATTCAGGTCAGGTCTGTCTTCCTTTTTTTTTTTTATTCCTCACCTGAGAATACTTTTCCATTTATCATCAGATAGAATGGAAGGGAGGGAGAGAAAGACAGAGAGAGAGAAACATCCATGTGATAGAGCCACACTGACTGGTTGCCTCCTGCACAACCCCAACCAGGACCGTGACAAACCACAACCGAGGTACATGCCCTTGGCTGGAATCAAACCCACGACTCATTGGTCCACAGGCAGACGCTCTAACTGCTGAGCCAAACCAGCTAGGGCCAGGTCTGTCTATTTAGCCTTCTTTAAATTGAAACATTTGCATAGCCTTTGTCTTGGTGACTTTTACACATTTGAAGAATACAGGTCCTACCCCCCTTTTTTAAAATAGAGGTTTCTCATTTGGGGTTTGTCTGGTCTTGCTCCACCCCTCATTGGTGATGTGAATTTTGAAAACCCAGTCAAGGTGTCTGAGTTCTCCACTGTATAATTTTTATCTATTCTCTTGCATGTAATAAGCAATCCATGGGGAGACACTGTCAGGCAATAAAATATTCTGCTCACCAAAATTTCTCCCTAGATTTAGCATCTGTTTATGATTTTTGCCTGATCCAATCTTGACTATTATGATTGCAAAATGATGATTCACCTCCCCATCCCCAAATCCAGCACTCTTCACATTTACTGCTTGGTACTTAGCATTCTACTATAATCAAGAGATTGCCTGTGTCCCTTATTTATTTATTACAACTATGGACACATGAATTCATATTTTTTCAGTGGTTTATAATTCATTTATTTAAATATGTTTTTACTGATTTTATTTTAATTTTTAATCTTTATTGTTGACTGTATTACAGATGTTCCTCATTTTTCCCCCATTGACTCCCTCCACCCACTCCCGCCCCCTCCTGCCTTTTCCCACACTGTTGTCTGTGTCCATTGATTATGCATATATGCATATAAGTTCTTTGGTTTATTTTATTTCTTCCCATTCCCCAACCCCCCTTCCCTTTGAGGTTTGTCAGTTTAGCAACCAATTTGTACTTCTTAATCCCTTCACCTTTTTCACCCATTCCCCCAACCCCCCTCCCATCTGGCAACCAACAGAATGTTCTCTATATCTATGAGAATGTTTCTGATCTGCATGTTCATTTTGTTTGTAGATTCAATTGTTGATAAATATGTATTCATTGCCATTTTGTTTGTTCATATTTTTTACCTTTTTCTTCAAGAAGACCCTTCAACATTTCATATAATAATTGTTTGGTGGTGATGAACTCCTTTAGCTTTTCCTTGTCTGGGAAAGTCTTTATTTGGCCATTGATTCTAAATGACAGCTTTGCAGGATAGAGTAATCTTGGTTGTAGGTTCTTGCTTTTCATCACTCTGAATATTTCTTGCCACTCCCTTCTGGCCTGCAAAGTTTCTTTTGAGAAATCAGCTGACAGCCTTATGGGGACTCCCTTGTAGGTAACTAACTGCTTTTCTCTCGCTGCTTTTAAGATTCTCTCTTTGTCTTGAACCTTTTGCATTTTGATGATGATGTGTCTTGGTGTGGGCCTCTTGGGGTTCATCTTGTTTGGTACACTCTATGCTTCCTGGACTTGTATGTCTGTTTCCTTCACCAAGTTAGGGAAGTTTTCTGTCATTATTGTTTCAAATAGGTTTTCAATTTCTTGTTCTCTCTCTTCTCCTTCTGGCACCCCCAAGATGCGAATGTTGGCACGCTTGAAGTTGTCCCAGAAGCTCCTTACGCTATCCTCATTTTTTGGATTCTTTTTTCTTTTTGCTATTCTGATTGGGTGTTTGTTGCTGCTTTATATTTCAAATCCATGGT